ATCTATGTTACCGGAAATTTTTGGATTTTCCATTCCCTTTTATTTTGTAATAGACCCACGTTTTTCAGTCGATTTGTGTGTGTAGTTTGGTATTTTGAGTTCTCATCGGCTGGCGTATCTCCCTACCAAAAATTAGTAATATTGGCCCACTTTTTATGGTAGCCCCCACCTAACGCTACCTCCTAAAATTCTGTATTCTGGGTTCTTATCGGGTAGCGAATCTCCCCACCAAAAATTAGTAGTAATTTTTACGGTTGCTACCATTCAAAATTTGGAGTTTTGGGAGTTTAGGCGCAACTTTTAACTAAATTGTCTGTAAAATTTTTATTGTGGAATCTCATTGGGTAGAAAATCTTCCTACGAAAAATCATCACTGTTGGCATAATCATCACTGTCGCTATAACTCCCATAAAACGATAACCTCATGGCGAAATTTTGAGAATCAAATATTTTCAAAATAGGTTTATCTTTTTTTATATGGCCCTCCTATCCCAAATATTCCGTACTTTTAGACATTCGGAGATGTTTCCCTTCTATAATGTATCTATTTTGGGTTCCGAAAAAATATCAATATGGTCCATCATTAGGTATATCGCAGACAATGTAAAAGTTAAAATGTACTTTGACACATTCTCCGTTAAGATTCCTCTCCTTAAAAAACAAAGCAAATCATCCTAACTCATCATAATTATTATCATCTTCTTCATAATTATCTCACCTAGATTAGTCATAATTTCTCAAAAAAAAAAAAAACATCAGCTACCTTATGTTTACAATATCTCATTCATAATTTATATGCCTTAAGTCTCTTCGGCTGTGTTTTTTTCCTTGTCAAGAAATTATTAAAAAAAAAACATAAATATTGAATCATAACTTTTTGAATGAGTGTGCTGTTCTAGTTAATAGCCCGAACAGAACATATGTATAAAAAAATTAAGACATCTGACAGTCTAAAAAATATGCTTACAAATCGAAATCCCTAAGCCAATTTGCAAATGGAAATTTATTTACAACAACTTTTGGTGTTACAAAACATCTTTGGCGAAAACGTTGGATGATTCAATGAGACTTGACTGAATTTTTTTTTTTAATTTTAATTGGCACACTTTAATTGCTTTGTGGGGGAATAGAGGAGGAGAAATACATCTTCTTAAAAATATGATTGTTAATTGCATTATTATTTATGTCATATTTTGTTGTCGTTCAGTTCATAATGACTCTTTTTAAATACCATTCAAACCCCTCTTCCCACAAAATTGTAGCTTCACTGAAAAGAGACACAACTCTTTTCTTTTTTTTAATACTCATTCATTCAGCGTTACTGCTGCAAATCTCAACACCGATAATTAATTCATGCAATATTTGATGCAGTGCAAAAAAAGTGTGCTATTAAAATTGGGGGGGAACAACTTTGTAATACTGCCACAAACAAAGAGAGTTTTTAAATAGAAATACTCAGGAGATGTACAAAGTGTCGTGAAAGTTGTGCAACTAAAATGGAGGCTAATTGTAGGGAAAATGAAAAAAAGTTACAAACATTTGTAATTTGTTAACCATTGACTTTAATTAAATTTTTAATTTAATTGAATAAAAATTAAAAATGTGCAATTATAAGGTTTAATTCTTTGTATTTTAGAATGGCGCCCAACATGGGGTTTTCCAAAAACCCCCCAACAAAAGAGTCAAATACATCTACGACGGCAGCAATTAATTTAGTCTAGTCTTAAAAAAATTTTAACCTAAAAAAATTTAACCCAATGTGAAAACGAGGAATTTGGAAATGGCGCCCAACGTGAGGTTATAACAGTCAGCCAGAGAAAATCTTAAAAAATGTCAATCAAATGACATTTTAATTATATTATTGAGTAAACAGAATACATCCGACACTATTACAATAAGGATGGGTCATTTCAAAACAAACTAGTTCAATTGAACTATTGTACAAAAGGAACTAGTTTCAGTTTTTATTCGTTCATCCTGTACTCTACATTCCAATTGTTCCATTTTGCTCTCCTTAACATAGTTCATTTTGAATCTATTATTATTCTAAATCATTTTGTTAATTGACCCAACTGTAACTGTACTAATAAACGATTGAACAAAAATGAACTATGGAACTAAACCTAGTTCTTTTTACAGAGCAAACTGAAAATGATCATACCGCCCCAGGAATGTGTTTGCCCAAGTCTATTTAATCATGGAATTCGTAAGTTTGAGTGATATGTTTAATGAGCCAAAATTCACAATGTAAAGGGTAGATGTATTATGAAGTGGCGACCAACGCGGGGTTATTCAAATTATAAATATTTTAAGGGAAATATCAAAAAAAAAAAAATGCAAGATGCTACACCGTTCATTTATTAGGGTTAACAAAAAATATATCTCATAAATAAAATGGCGCCCAACGTGGCGCCATTTATTAACATTACTACACAAAAACATCGTCCTAATTTATTTTTAATTCTAATTGTAACGAATAATCACAGAACGTAAATGTGTATGCCAATGTAATTTGCTCCACGTCGGGCGCCATTTCATTTTTAATATATTTTGTCCTTATTTCCTTATGAATTTCATGATTGTGAACTAATTGTTTTATCTTACGCATTGTCATGTTGGGCGCCATTATTTTCTGATAATTATTTTCTTTTTTATATGTGTATTTTTTTTGGATATTTTGCATTGGTTTTAGATATATAATTATTTTAGATAACATTGGGCGCCAGTATATGCAAATAATTTATTTTTATATTTATATTATTGTCAAAGATAATTTATTGGCGTCCAAAGTGTGGCTGTGTTAAATTAAAGGAAACATTAGTGTCTATCATTCTAGAATGAATTCCGAATCATTGCATTATAAAGACTTGTAAGACGAAATCGATTTGGTCGATTATTGAACTAAATTAAAACAAAATCTACTATCCCTCTACGGCTTCGACTAAACTAACTCACATCCGAAGATGTAGTCTTCTAATTCTTATTGGGAAAGCACTAGATATTCGGAGTTGAACTGCATTTTTTCGAAGGTGGAAAGTACAGTGACCAAAAATAAAAACAGAGACAAAGGTTCATAACACACATGGGAATTGCAAACCTCGACTTCGGATACAATAGCTCTCCCGGCTATAATAGCTATCCTTAGCAACGATCTTTATTCCTTATTAAACAGCCTCACTTTCACCTAAGATTTCACGACCTTCAATGGTCCGAAAGTGAAGCTTTCCTTACTCCTAAGCACGTCAAAGGTATATTTGTCGGGGAATCCAATCCAAATTGTCGGAATATATGATGACCATGATTTCAAAGAAAGACTTACGTACCCATTACATATTCCGACGTTCCTAATGTCCATTTATTTTGATGCACAGCGTACCACTTTATATAGACACTCGTCCATCTGTAATTTTCCAGCAAATCTGCCGCACTATGAAGTTCTCAACATTTCTTACAAAAGTAAAGTTCATAATTCCAGTTTTCTGATCCTACAGGAGCTATTGAATATCTTTGCCCTTTGATTTATATTATAAGGCCACTTTAAGAATAATGTTTCACTCATTTTCCATTATTAAATATTTAAATGATTTGGCGCCCAACGTGGGGCTACAGAATAGATTTTATTGTCCTTTATTGTGATTAAAAAATGTGATAAATGGAGTCTTCTATTTGAAGGGTTGAAATAGGCATTACATTGAATATGAAATTTAGACAGGTTTTTACGAATGGCGACCAACGTGGGGCTACCTATAACTCCACGCCAAATACAACTACCGCATATAAATTTCATAGTCGAGCATATATATTTTCCTATTTTTATAATAATGTATATTATCGTCCTGATGTTATGAAATAAATATGAACTCCTTAATACATCACAAAATAAATGGCGCCCAACAGGTGGCTAACACATATATATGTTATTGCCCTTTATTGTGATTAAGAAAAATCTGATAAATATGGAGTTTTCCAATTGTAGAGCAAATATAGGCATTACGTAGGATAAATAATATAACTTAGACAGGTTTTCATGAATGGCGACCAACGTGGGGCTACCTATAACTTCACTCTAAATACAACTATCGCATATGAATTTTAAACATATTCGAGCTTATTTTAGATTTCCTATTTAAAAAAATATATTTTTTCCTAATTGTATGCAATAAATATGAGCTCCCGTATGTATCACGTAAAAAATGGCGCCCAACAGGTGGCTAATTTTGGTATCATTGAAAATATTTTTAAGACAATTGTGTGGTATTATAAAATTAATTTCAATTTTTACAAATCTTAAAATAGTCTGTCTTGCTCTTTGATTACATTTTAATATCGCAATGTATTGCTATTTGGCGCCCAAAGTGGGGCAAACAAAAAATATCAATTAATGGGTGATATTAAAACATATCTTAAAAATCCTGCGATTGTATTATTCATTAAGCCTTGAAGTACACATTTTGTAAAATGCAATTTGGAAAATTGTTTCGTGAGATGGCGCCCAACGTAAAGGAAACAATTAAGAAATATGTATGGTTCATATTAGAAAATCCTGAGGTTGTATTGTTGTAATTTGAAATTCGCTGCATTAAATTTTGATATTTAAATATTCTATAAAGGAAATTACAGAAATAATAAAAAAAATAAGTAAAAATATTTTTGTCCGTTCATAAAAAAATTATGTTCTTAATTTCTTGTTTTTCTTTTTCACAAAGAAAGGAAATGTGCTATAATTTAAACAGAAAAAAATAAATGCAGAAATCCGGCATTAAAAACAATAAAAGAAAAACAAACAAACGTGGGAACTGTAAACCAAAGAACACAAAATTCGAATGAAAAACAAAAAGAAAAATTAATAACGGAAACAAAAACAATTTTCAGAAGAACAAAGAAACCAAAGAAAAAACCCAAATTTCAAAAAATTTAAATAAAAAATTACAAAAAAAAAAACAAAAAATTAAATAAACCAAAACTTCAAAATCCAAAAACGAAAAAAATCGAAATTCATCATGGCCTTAATCGATTATCAGGCGCACAATTTCACCTGCTACACGGTACCTGAATGTTCGAACGATGATGAAAACGAGTGTCAGCAACAGGCTGCTGACAATGATGCAGGCGACGAGGAGGAGGAGGATGAAGAAACCGAATCGGAAGAACGTCGTCGACAACATCGAAGCCCGCTTTATGGTAGTCGTTATTCTGTTGCCTCCACCGAAACTACAACCTCCTCCATTGACAATAATATACTCAGGAAACATCATCCGAATCGTGTTAATAAATATCATCATAAGAAACTTTTTAATCCATTTGTGGGTGGCGTCGGTGGGCATCAAAGAACTTCAATGCCGATATTATTTAATGGAGCCGCACCACAATTCGGTTCATTTCATTATATGAATATGTTGGAAACAACGACGGATCAGGTGCCGACTTCACCCCAATTGGGTTATTTTGTACCCTTTGCGGGTAACTGTTATTTAAGTCCACCTGTGGGTCGGAAGAAAATGAGGTAAACATTATGGGATTTAATGGAAAATATAGAAAAAAATCGGAACCAAGGGTCCCGCAATTTATTTCTATAGAAAAAAGACGTAACCAAGGGTCCCGAAATTTGTTTTTATAGAAAAAAGTCGGAAACAAGGGTCACGATTTTTTTTCTACAGAAAAAAAGTCGGAACCAAGGGTCCCGAAATTTTTTTCTATAATAAGAAAAGTCGGAACCGAGGGTCCCGAAATTGTTTTCTATAGAAAAAAAGTTTTTCTATAGAAAAAAACGGAACCAAGGGTCCCGCAATTTATTTCTATAGAAAAAAGACGTAACCAAGGGTCCCGAAATTTGTTTTTATAGAAAAAAGTCGGAAACAAGGGTCACGATTTTTTTTTCTACAGAAAAAAAGTCGGAACCAAGGGTCCCGAAATTTTTTTCTATAATAAGAAAAGTCGGAACCGAGGGTCCCGAAATTGTTTTCTATAGAAAAAAGTTTTTCTATAGAAAAAAAGTCGGAACCAAGAGTCCCGACATGTTTTTCTATAGAAAAAAACGGAACCAAGGGTCCCGAAAATTTTTTCTATAGAAAAAAAACGGAACCAATGGTCCCGAAATGTTTTTCTATAGAAAAAAATTGGAAAAATGGGGTAAAGAAAATTGTTTCTATAGAAATGGGTCACGAAATCGGAACTATGTGTTCCGAATTTTTTTTTCTATATAAAAAAATCGGAACTATGGGTCCCGATTTTTATTTCTATAGAAAAAACGTCGGAACCAGGCGTACCGACATTTTTTTATAGACAAAAATCGGAACTATGTGTCCTGAAATTATTTTCTATGGAAAAAATCAGAAATAATGGTCCTGAATAATATAATAATATATTTTATAAGTTTTCAATTTTTTTAATTTTCAAATTTCGATTTAAAAAAAAAAAAAAAACTTTCAAAATTGTGCTTATTTTCTAATTTTTAACTCCCACCCTCTGTATCTCTCTCTTTCCAGAGACAAAGAAAATGAACGCAATCGTCGTGCCGTCAGCTATGGCGGTGTTACAAATGCCTCATCGATGACCACACTGCCGCGGGCCGCCCCACGCCGCATGAATCTAATGAAGGAGCCTCCACCACCGCCACCACCCAAACCAATTCTGCTGCAACAACAAACCTCGGTGCAATCTGCATCGACAGTAACCACGACCTCAACCCTGTCCATACCTAGTAAATATCCACAATCTGAATATAATTTGATACAGAAAATCGATTCAACCTCAACATTGACTGCTCCGGCTCAATATCAGGCACAGAATTACTATGCCAATACGGCGACAATTAGCGGTGGTGGCGGAGGCAGTAGTAATTATTCCTCACTGCTGTGTCATTCCAGTTCGACCACAAGCCCCTTGGCTGTGCGTAAGCGTGAGAAATTATTGCATCGTTTCAGTGATGCTGCCACGCTGGGACGCAAATTGAAAAAGAAGAAGAACATTAACCGCACTTGTCGTTCAATGACTGAAGCCATAGAGATGCTAGCCGATCCTGTCATCGAAGATGAATTTTTTGTAAGTAGTCGAAAATACTTTTTTTATTAATTGCAATTTTTATTATTTATGATATTTTTTGAAATATTTATTTTATTGTGCAATTTAATGGAGAGGGTAGGCAATTTTTTTCTGAGTGTACAATTAGGGGGTGTTTTAATTGTTATTTTTTTATTTTAATTTCAAGTGTTATCTTTTGGTTCTCTTCTGAGTGTGTATGTGTCATTTTGGAATATATATGGGCGTCCATTTGTGGCTGAGAGCCTCTTGGAAATATGTAAGAGAATTTTCATAATTTAGAAATTAAAATAAAGCACAGTGGTTTTCATAGAAAAAAAAAACGGAACCAAGGGACCCGATTTTTTTTTTTTGTATGGACAAACCTCGGAACCATGGTTCCCGAAAAAAGTCGCAACCAAGGTTCCCGAAATTTTTTCTATGGAAGAAAAGTCCATAGATTTTTTTCTATAGAAAAAAATCGAAACCAAGGGTCCCGAAATTTTTTTCTATAGAAAAAAATCGGAACCAAGGTTCCCGAAATTTTTTCCTATAAAAAGAATCGGAACCAAGGGTCCCGAAATTTTTTCCTATAGAAAAAAAATCGGAACCAAGGGTCCCGAAATTTTTTCCTATAGAAAAAAAATCGGAACCAAGGGTCCCGAAAATTTTTCCTATAGAAAAAAATCGGAACCAAGGGTCCCGAAATGTTTTTCTATTGAAAAAATCAGAACCAAGGGTCCCGAAATGTTTTTCTATAGAAAAAAATCGGAACCAAGGGTCCCGAAATGTTTTTCTATAGAACAAAATCGGAACCAAGGGTCACGAAATTTTTTCCTATAGAAAAAAATCGGAACCAAGGGTCCCGAAAGTTTTTTCTGTAGAAAAAAATCGGAACTAAGGGTCTCGAAATTTTTTTCTAAGAAAGAAATCGGGTCCCGAGTCCCGAAATTTTTTTCTATAGAAAAAATCGGAACCAAGGGAATTTATTATCTTCTGCCCACTGTCCCTCTCGAATAGTTGTTGCCTTCCAAAATAAATTAAAAACACAAACTTGAGATAATTTTTTGTTCAAGTATCTCTTTTTCCGAATATCCATTTCCACCATTATTTTATGTTCTGTGATTGTTTTCGTTCTGCTGCTGCTGGTGTCCAAAGTTCTCTTATCATTTACACCACTACACAATGCAATTCTATGATTTGGTTGGTCTTCTGGGCTTCTCTATTGTAGTTTTTTTTCTCCATTTGGTCAGATTATATCGAACACAATCGCGTTGACAATAGCCTGGAACAACAACAAAAAAATAAAAATACGACAAATTATTCTTTTGTTTCCAATCAAAATTTATGGCCAAACCGGGCAGTTGACATTTGTTCTTTGGCGCATTCGTATCGCCGCTGATGCCTGGAACAAAAAGCAAATAAACTCCTATCAAATCGTTCTGATCTTTTGGGAGAGTTACAAAAACACCAGAAACAAAAAACGGAAACGGAAGTTGTAATTAATTCAGTGCAGTGCAGTTCAGGCGAAGTGTTGCAAAAATCTTTACAAGAGACCCATTACGGGCAGGAAAAAAATAAATTTCGCAAAAAATGCATACTATTAAAAAAAAATCGAAAAAATTAAATAAATGAAACAAGTCAATGACCTTACGGAAAAAGAGGACAAATTGTGAATGTGTGCGAAAAAATCGAAAAAAATATTTTGCATCTAAAATATTGAAAAGTGTTCTCCAACGAAGTGATTAAACAAATCCTACGAAGTCTAAAGTAAAAAATCTATGAAAAAGTTTTCAAAAAATCTACAAATTCATTGACGCCCCCAAAAATTAGGAAATTTTTACCAACAAGTTTACTCACACCTCTGCAATGTTCGATTTGTCATCATTCAGGCCTTATAATACGATTTTCGTATATTTCTTTGTATGAGGTATGGGGTCAAATTTTTTTATGAACTTTTAATTGTTTCAACCTTGTCTAGGTTTGTTTTCAAGTCAATATCAGCAAATTTTCGCAATCCGACACTTGTATGGGTTTTGGGGTTGCAACCCCCTAGTATTTTTGTTTTTTGTTGGAAAGGAAAAAATATGACCCAAGGGCCTGTGAATTATTTTTTTACAGGAAAAAAAACCTACACAAGAGTCAACGAATTTTTTTCTATAGAAAAAAAACTTTGACCCAAGGGTCCTACGAATTGTTTCTTATAGAAAACACATCCGAACCCAAGGGTCTCTCGAATTTATTTCTGTAGAAAAACCTTGGAATCAAGGATCTCACGGATTTTTTATCTAAAAAATAAATTTATTCTATAAAAAACCCGACCTAAGGATCTACCGATTTTTTTTTTCTATAAAAAAATTAATCCAAGGGTCTCGCGATTTTTTTCTGCAAAAAATCGACCCAAGGTTCTGGCAAATTTATTTGTAATCGACCCATGGGTCTCAGGAATTTTTTTCTATAGAAAAAAATTCTCAGAACCTCAGATCGGAGTTTTTTTTTCTATAGAAAAAAATTTCAGACCCTCAGATCAGAGTTTTTTTCTATAGACAAAAAATTCTCAGATTGGAGTTTTTTTCTTTAGAAAAAAATTCTCGGATCGGAGTTTTTTTCTATAGAAAAAAAATTTCAGATCGGAGTTTTTTTCTATAGAAAAAAATTCTCAGATTACAGTTTTTTTTAGAAAAAATTCCCAGACCCTCAGGTCGGACTTTTTTCTCAGACATTGAGGCGGACTTTTTTCTATAGAAAAAACTCCAAGACCCTTGGGTCGGACTATTTTCTATAGAAACCAATTCTCAGACCCTCAGGTCGGACTTTTTTCTATAAAAAAATCCTCGAGACACTCAGGTTGGAATTTTTTCTATAGAAAAAATTCTTAGACCCTCATGTGTCGGATTTTTTTAAAGAATAAAATGCTCAGAACCTCAGCTCAGACTTTTTTATATAGAAAAATTTCTCAGAGCCTCAGCTCGGACTTTTTTTTATAGAAAAAAAATCCGAGCTGAACATCTGATCTCAGACACTCAAATCGGAGTTTTTTTCTATAGAAAAATATTGTCAGACCCTTAGGTCGGAGTTTTTTTTCTATAGAAAAAAATTCTCAGACCTTCAGGTCGGAGTTTTGTTTATATAGAAAAAAATTCTCAGACCCTCAGTTCGGACCTTTTTTCTATAGAAAAAAATTCTCAGACCCTCAGGTCCGACTTTTTTCTGTAGAAAAGATTCTGAAACCTTATGGTCGGTTTTTTTTCTATAGAAACTAATTCCGAGAGCCTTGGATCGAAGTTTTTTCTATAAAAAAATTTCTCAGACCCTCAGGTCGGACTTTTTTCGTAGAAATAAATTTTTCAGACCTCAGGCCAAACTTTTTTTATAGAAAAAATTCTCAGACCCTCAGGTCGGACTTTTTTCTATAGAAAAAATTTCACAGACCCTCAGGTCGGACTTTTTTCCATAGAAAAAAATTCTCTGATCCTCTGGGCAGTACTTTTTTCTATAGACAAAATTCTCAGACCCTCTGGGCAGGACTTTTTTGATACAAAAAAATCTAAGACCCTGAGGCCAAACTTTTTTATAGAAAAAATTCTCAGACCCTCTGGGCAGGACTTTTTTTCTATAGAAAAAAATTCTCAGACCCTCTGGGCAGGATGTTTTCTTACAGAAAAAATTCTCAGACCCTGTGGGCAGGACTTTATTTCTATAGAAAAAGTTCTCAGACCCTGTGGGCAGGACTCTTTTTCTATAGAAAAAAATTCTCAAACCCTCTGGGCAGGACTTTTTTCTATAGAAAAAATTCTCATGATTTTTTGTTACCAAAAAAAACCCTGTGGTTGGATTTTTTATAGGAAATATTCTCTGAACCTCCGATCGAACGTTTTTCTATAGAAAAAATCGGTTTTTTTCTACAGAAAAAAAGCTCAGATTCTCCGCTCGGATCGCCTTTTTCTACAGGCTCCTTTTTTCGACAGGAAAAAAACCGTAGACCCTCTTTTCTATAGAAACAAATTCTCAGACCCTCAGGTCAGATTTTTTGCAATAGAAAAAATTCTCAGAACCTGTGGTTGGGCCCGGAAAAAATTCTTACTCACTTGGACGGGTTTTTTTCTAGAGAAAAATTTCTTTATTTTGAATTTTTTCTTTGAGTGTATTAAATAATTTTGTATTACCTTCCCCTTCCTTCTATCTCACAATTTCCGCACCAAAAAATGGTGGGCGTCAATTATTTAGTTTTTTTCTGTTTTATAAAAAAATCGAACAGAACATTAATGAACAATTAATAAAGCCAAAACAGAAACACCAGCAGTGACAAGACAGTTAATGTTCGTCGGTCTTCGGTGTATCTAATCGCCCAGCTATTGGGGTCAATACAAGTATTAACAATGTGTTATCTCTCGTGCAATACAAACAAGTAATTTGAATAAGTCAACCCAAAAAAAAAAAACAAAAAAAAATCTAAAACTAAAACTCGGAACAAAAACAGAATGGCCAGAATACCCTGTGTGCTGCCTGACTGAAACCAGGCACCCAAAGATTAACAATGACAGATTAAATGTTCAAATTAAATGTTGGTGATAGACCAACTGCAAACGACAGATGTAAATATCGAGATGTAAAAGAATTTTTAAATCGAACAGCAACAACAAAAACAAAGCAGAACGCTGCAAAAATCGAACCTCGAAAAGTGTGTCAAATACACAACAAAAACAACAACAACAACAATCTCAATTTCCATTAGCATGCAATTACCTTGAATTGTATTGAGAAATTCTTTTAAGGGTTGCTAAACAAAATAACCACGTTTTTCCTCGAGTGTAAACAGAACCCCTTTTCATTCGATAATTGGATTAAAAACTTTGTCCATTAGTGGTGCGTAAAGGGTTCTCTCTTCCAATTGTTGTCCACTGCAATTCGTCGTGGTGGAGACAACAACAATTTTCTGCGGAAAATTTTTTGTAAAAATCAATTGCGAGTGAAAGTTTAAACGAAAAACAACGATTTTCTCGATTTTTAGTAAATTTTCCCTC